ATCCTTCTTGGAGTGAGGAGCCCAAAACTGCCCCCAGTATGGGAGGTGCAGCCTCCCCAGTGCTGAGTCCAGGGGGACAATCCCTGCCCTAGTCCAGGCTCACACCTGGTGAGCTGCTCTGGACACCTAGGAAGGTTTGGAGACACCACCACGGGCACTGCTGCTCCTCCTCTCTGGTGGGAAACCAAAGCTCAGTTCACCCAGCACAACTCCTCTGGTGTCTGGGGCTCAACAGTCTGTTCCAGCTGGGACTTTGCTCTGGTGCAGAGGGAGCTTGAGGAGAAACAATCCTGCAAATACCTCCACAGGAATGGCCAGAAGACGGGTGACTGAATGGCCAGAAGATACCCTGTAAGCAAAGGGGCCTGGCAGGATACTCTGGAAGTGGGAACTCTGTGACTTCTCAAAGGCCTGGAGCCAAGAGCCTGCAAACAAGCTGTGGGCAAAATTCCCAGAGGAAGGGCTCCTCCTGAGCCCTCTCTGAAGGGGTCTCCAGCACTGCCAGTGAGCTTGGCCATCTCCTGCAGCCCCTGGAGAAGGCAAAGAAGAACAAGGTGGGAGGTAACTCTGCTGGCACAGGGTTGTGCTGTTGGCCCCTGGAGAGGTGACAAGCTCTCAGCTCTGCCAGCAGAATCCCAGGACCCCTAGCAGTTGGGTTTACAAAGTCCCAAATTTTGCCTGTCCCTCAAAGATGCCTTCCCTGAGATCTCCCCTTGAGTCTCTGCAGCTTCCAGGTGGCCAAGCTAAGGGACATGCTGCAGAGCTATGGATCCCCTTGAGGATTATACCTTCTATCACTCATCTTGCATAGGAAACACTATTTGGTCATCAAGAGCTTAATCAGAGCCTAGAATTTGCTTGAAGATGCTCTGAGAAACTGGCCACTAGAGGTGCCTTGATAGCCATGACAGTAATAAAGGTGAAAATGGCTCAAGTCTAAAGCAGATCAATTCTGAGTGGCCACTGCAAGTTCTCTGAGGACAGCAAACATGGGATGGAGCAGAGGGGCTGCAGCCCTGCTGGTCTGCTGGGTGATCTCCTGAACCCACAGCTCTGGAGCTTGCTGAAAGCTCCATATTCATCTACTTAGACCTTTGTTTCCTCAATCAGCTCTTATAGGACCAGTAAGAAACTCAAACTGGGCTGTGTTTTCTCCACAAAGACAAGACTCTGCTGCCTCCAGCTCTCCATGTAGCATTTGAAGACAGCCTGCACACCCAATCCAAGACTCTTTTTTTTGCCCAAAAAGACTATTTCACCCGTGTCCCACACGAGGCTTGTGAGGAGTCAGCTGGACCAGGTCCTTCACCCAGCTCCTGTGGAGGCAGAGGCAGCACATGAAGGACAAGGGGATGGAAAGGACTGTGGTGGCTGTGAAGAGACAGGCTGAGGGACAACCCAGACACCACCAGCAGCTGCACAGCACCAAAGCACAATGCAGAAGAAGCCATGGCAGGTCCCACCTCAGCCTCGTGGCCTGGCCTTTTGGGGGAAGGTGGCAGGAGATGGTGGGAAAAGGAGCTCCAGGAGGGGATCTCCATCACGGGAGCCTCTGCCCCCTCGGGGATGGCTACAGACACGTTCTCACAGCTCAGCACCTCCTTCAAACCAGGGAGAGAAGAAGCATCAGTAGCAGGGCAAGGCTGGGACTAAATGCTCACAGCCCTTCACCCCCGTGGCAGCTCCTGGGTGCCCCACTCATCCCCAGAGGGAAGGGAGAGGAAAGGGAAGGTGGGCTGTCAAAAACTGGCACAAATGGCAAGGGAAGACAGAGCATCTTGCAGCCCCTTCCAGGGTGCCCAAGACATGGTCAGTGGGAGCATCACCCCTCACTAGGGGTTTTCTAGGGCTAAGAGGAGGCTCTGTCCAGCTCCTGACGTGCTCAGGAGGGATTGGAAGATGAGCAAAACAAAAAAAACAAGGAGGATGAATCCCAGACTGGTTTGGGTTGGGAGGGACCCTTCAAGGTCATCTCATCCAACCCCCCTGCAGTGAGCAGTGACACCCCAACTAGAGCAGGTTGCTCAGAGCCCCATCAAGCCTGACCTTGAGTGTCTCCAGGGATGGGGGCTCCAGCACCTCTCTGGGCAGCCTGTTCCAGGGACCACCACCCTCATGCTAAAGAACTTCCTCCTAATGTCTCATCTAAATCTCCCCTGCTCTAGTTTAAAACCATTGCCCCACATCCTATCACCACACACCCTTTTAAACAGTCCTTCCCCAGCTTTCCTGGAGGCCCCTTCAGGTACTGGAAGGCCACCAGAAGGTCTCCCTGGAGCCTTCTGTTCTCCAGGCTCTCAAGCCCAGCTCTCTCAGCCTGCCCTCACAGGAGAGGTGCTCCAGCCCTCTGTTTGTGGCCAAAAAAACCCAGTTTCCAGTAGAGGAGAGGATGTGCCCCCTCTTCTCCCACAAGGAGAAAAGCAACCTGGGTGTTTATGGTGCATTTTCCTGCAGAAATGTCTATTAGGAACTACATTTAAATAGAGAATTCCCCATCGCTGTGTAACTAAATTTCTCTTTGCTTGACTTAATAGAGTCTGATAGATTTTACAAAAATCTAATTTTAAGTAATTTAATCTCAAATCCTCCATTGATTTGACTGTAGGTTTGTGATCATGGTGATGAAGCAATTTCAGATTCACTTTAATCATAAGCTGCTGACACAGGATGAGACAATTATCTCAAGCCCCTCCTCCCCTTCCCCCTGACTTCTAATTGCCCTGTTCTTCTAGAGCACTAACAGAAAGCAGAAAGCAGGCAGTGTCTGGAAATCCACCCAGGACCCTCCAGCTCCTTGCTGAGGAGCTCTGATACCTCCCAAGGTCCAGGTCAGCCATGCCCTGAGCAGACCATGAGCCCCTGTGCCAGTGCCAGAGCTGTACTCTACCATTTGAGGGTCCTCTGGAAACCCCAAAATGGGATTAAAAAGACCCTGAGCAGTAGATGTGTGTCTGTGTGAAGGGAATTGATGCCACCCCCTGCTGTATGTGGCAGGGTTGAGAGCACCAGCATTCCCAGGGCTCTGGGAGACTCTCCCTGGTGCTGCTGCCCGTGCTGCCATGACAAGGACCAATGCCTTGGGTGGCAGAGCAGGGACCTGTGGCTACTATGGGTCTGAACTTGAACTCCACAACCTTTGAATGAACTGGAAACAGCAAGTGATGGACTCTCAACCCTCCCCCAGGACAATGGCCAGGATGAGGTTAGCCCTGGAGAACGTGTTTCAAGCGACCTTCCACCTCAGGGAGCCCTCCTGAGATGACCCAAGATGTGGGGGTGGTGGGGACATCTCTGTCACAGAGTGACCTGGACAAGCTGCCTCTCTGGCTGGGCCACCCAGGATGTGACTGCCTGATGCCCTGACAGCAGTGACTGGTGAGAACTGTCCCCTCCCCACCCCGGGCACAAGAAGAGCAGATGCTTTGTGTGAAGTGTTACCAGGGCTTGATGCTTCGCCTGCCCCCCTGGCTCTGACTTGATGGTCTCCTGACTTCTGTAGGGTGCTCTGCTCTCCAGGGCCACAGCACCTCCCCTGCTCCCACTGGTGGCCGAGGTGGTTGCTCCTCTGGACATCTCCAGCTCGATCTCAGCATCCATCTCGGCGTCCTCCTTGGCCTCCTTGTTGCTCTCCTCCAAGTGCTTCATCAGCACTGCCACCACCACGTTGACGAGGACAAACTGTGCGATGAGGACGAAGGTGACAAAGTAGACAGGAGAGATGACAGGCAGGTAACTGAGGCAGTGCTTGTCCTCACGAGTGCATTCCCTGAGAGTGTCCTGCAGCAGAGAGCGAGAGCTGAGGGTTAACGAGGGCCAGAGCTACTCACATCACGTGGCCACTCCTCTCAGCCACAAGAACTGGCATCATTTTCCTCAAGTATTATCTAGAAATGTGAAGTTTCAGGTTGGGTGAGGCTTGGGAGAAGTTATTGCTTCAAAACACTTGGCTTCTAACTGGGGAAGTTTAAATTGGATGTTTTAAAAGGAAGTGTCTCTTGGTTTCACACAAGAGTTGGCTGAATTGGTTGGAAAGCTGTATCTGTGTCTCTACAGAGAGAAGGAAGGAGCCAGGCAGAGCCTGCACACACCTTCATGATGCCATTCCAGTTGTCCCCTGTTGACACCCTGAAGAGGGTGAGGAAGGCCATGCCAAAGTTGGTGAAGGTCGCGTGGCGGCTCAGACCTTCACAAGGGTTTTCTTCACTGCAGTCTGCAGGAGAGAGAAGCAGAAGGACATCAGTGAAGCCACATTTGCCAGTGCTTATTCAGAGCAGCCCCCCCAAAAGCTGGTGGTAAGACCCTGAGCTATGTCATGTGGGTACAGGGCATCGGGGAGGAGTGTGAAGTGGTGATCTCATACTGCAACCACTGAAAAGCAGCTGCAGAGATCACACAGTCAAACTCTTCTCACCACACTGTCCCTTAGGAGGTCCAGGTTGGACATGGGAAATGTTTTTTTCCTCTGGAAGGCCCATCAGCCCTGGGACAGGTCACCAGAGAGGTAAGGAAGCTCTGTCATTGGAAGTTTTCAAGCCTTGGCTGGACAAAGCCACAGCCACTCTGAGGTAGTGATGGGGTCTCAAGTGGGAGGCTGGGTGGGGGCCTCCAGAGGCCTCTTCCACCAACATTTCTGTGACTCTCATGACTTTGTTTACCCCAAGAGGCAGAGCCAACACAAAGAGATATTTAAAAGGAAGTGGAAACAAGCAGACTTGCTGGGCTGTCTCAACAAACACTGCTCCACAGCATCCTTTGTCTAGATCCTCTTGATTATGTCCCTGCATTGATTGTTTTTTACAGGGTTCCTCTACCAGGAGAGATATTTCACTGAGAGAGAGTGGAGTAATTTGACATTTGCACCCTGAGAGTTCATACACTAATGAATGCAAATGGAACATATGGAACTGCCTTCCTGCCATAAAACACAGGCTCACTAAACACTCCTCAGGACAGGCAGAGATGTCTCATCCAAGGGCATCTCACTGGGAGGCACTTCTTTCAGAGGCAAATAGGAAGGAAAACAAAAAAATAAGTGGAAAAAAACCCTTGAACAATAAAAATGCCCAGTCTTGGGGAAGCAGGTGGTGATGGTTCTTCTGGCTGATGTGGATTAGCAGTGACTGGGAAAAAGAAGTGGAAGCATTGCCCAGTTCAGTTGGGCTGGGAGGTGGTGGGCTGCCTGTCTGGACAAGATCAAGGTGTTCCTGGCCTCCAAACTTGTGCTGTGGCTACCTGGGGGTAAATCTATCTATCTATCTATCTATCTATCTATCTATCTATCTATCTATCATCTAATCTACCTACCTGTCTAGATATTTAATATAAACCCCACTCTAGTTCATTTGGAGTGGATGCAGAACTAATTTTTTTTCCCCAGAATTTGTTAGTGACTGAAAAATCATTTGTCTTGTGTGGAAAGCCATATTCTGCTTTCAGGCACTTGTGATCTGAGCAGAGGACTGGACTGAGGAAGGGGATTAATGACAACTCTAAAACCACTGCATAAGAAGGGTCCTTCTGATGCTCCTGAAGCCCTAACTGGGATGCAGACATGGAGAGGGCAGACACATCTCCATCCAGTTTAAAGGCACTGACTGCCTTGGCCTGGGTAAATGGGGTAAGGTAGGGCTAGAGTTGTTCTGTCTGACTCCACCTGGTTTTCTTTTTAGTCGTGGAAACATTCATGAGCACCTCTGCAGTCTCCTCAAGCTGGAGGAATAAATGGTGCTGGGCCAGCAGGAACCAGTGGGTGCTTCCTGGTTTATGTGAAAAGGGGAAAGTGATGCTGAGAACAACAATGGACAGAGAAGAGTTGGGCAGCTGGAAGAGCAATGTTAGCCAAGTGCAGAAAACAAATGGGAGGGTGGTGGAAGCTCCAAGGAGGGATGTGTTTATGGTGGCATCTCTCCAGCACAAACCTGACTACCATCCAGCTTTGCAGCCTCGTGATCTAAGTAGGAAACTTCCATCTTTGTGAACATATCCATGCTGGACAACTATATTTAAAGAGTAAATAGTTCCTCTGCAGCCCAGGGTGGTGTTGGACACATCTCTAAATGTGTGTGTGTGTGCATGTGAGGTTCTGTATTACATCCTCAAGTGTCATCTGTGACCCTGAGATCAAAAGAACACTTTAATCTTCAGGCTGGGAGCTGTGAGGCTAAGGAAGGCCCAAGAATGAGAGAGAGGAGAAAGGAAACAGCCAGATACCAAACAAACATCAACCGGATGGGATAAATTGTGTCAGGCACATTACTCACCTAGCTTGCCAAACAATTCCACTCCCAGGGCAGCATAGATAAAAAACAGGAGCATAAAAAGTAGGCCAAGGTTCCCTACCTACACAAGGAGAAAGCAGAACAAGGGTCAGGCAAGTTGAAGTCATGAATTAAATTGCTCCATCATATTTTAAACACAAGCACAAGAAGGACTGGTGGCCAGAGGCTCATCATCATCATCATCATCATCATCATCATCATCATCATCATCTCCCCTGGCTTTCAACACCCTGGTCTCCTTCATGACTCTGCTGTACCAGACCCAGGGAAGTCTCCTGTGTGAGGGAAGGAGCAGATGCTCCCATGTGCAAAGCCATCCCTGTGTCTGGTGCCTCTCCAAGGCCCTTCTACTTACCCAGGGTGCTGCCTTCATCTGTAATTTGGCCAACCTCTAGCCTCAGCAGCACTTCAGTGCAGTGGTGGTGCAAATGACCTGGTGCTCTGGTCTGAGTCTGAGGGGTCTTTCCCTCCTCTTTGCCAGGTTTGAGACTGACCATGAAGGCTGAGGGCTCCAGGACAGTGACATGAATTAAACACATCAAGCCACAGGAGGAACCGTGTGGTTTTCAAAGGCTCTGCTGGCCTGGAGGGCTTCCAGAAAAGGAACATAGGCTCCAGTCTGATGTAAAGCTCTGCTAGCCTTGCCTTGGCAGGCATTTCTCTCTCAACAAATACCTGAATTTTAGCCCTGAAGAAAAGTCTTGTTCCATATCCCAACACTGAACAGTTCAGCCACCACGGGGTGTGCTGCTCTTGGTGCCTGGGATGCTGCACAAGTGCAGTGATGCTACAGGGAACACAAATTGGTCTTAATTACAATGGCACTGCAGTTATTGGCACTGGAGTCAATCCCTACAAGGGGCTGAAGGCTTTAGAACATCTCAAAGAGCAGATTTTTTGTGATTCTGGCAAAGAACATGCAGAGCAGAGTAACCTGAGCACCCAACCACCTCTGTTTTCCCTGCAGCTCACTGGCCACATTGATTTTAAATAAATAAAATGCCTTTTGTCTTGCAGTGGAGATCAAACAATTGAGTTCTCCACTTAGACACAGCATCACAAACACCATTTTATCTCTAAATAAAAATGAACTAGGTGCTGATGCTGGGCATCAGGCTGATGGATCCCTCATGGCCAAGGTATCTCCTAGTGAACTCTGCAGTCTGAGGGAGATTCCTTCCCTGAGGTGGCACAGCACCAGTGGTGTGTGGCTAATTAAGCAAGCTGCTTCATTTCTTTAGAAATGTTATCAGGGTGGTACCTGTTATCATAAAACTAACACAGCTATCACCAAGTAGGGGTTTTTTTTTTGATTAAAGGAATGGGAGTAGTCAAATCACCCAGTGGAGACTGTAATTGCTCTAAAACCTTAACTCACTGCTACACACAGAGCTTTGCAATTCCACTAACATTATTACCATACTCCAGGGAATAATAGGAATGATGCAGTGATCTGGATGGCTGGCCTGGATTGTTTCATCTGCATGTACTGTCTTCTGGAATAGTGTTTCCTAACTCAGGTCTGCTAGAGCACTGATGGTTTCTGAGCCATTAGAAGGCAGTCAGCAAAATGACTGCACATTAGGAAACACCAGAAAACAGGCACGTGGGCAAATGCACACACAGAGCCAGGGAGGGAGAGCAGCAAATCAAATCATTCAAGGGAAGGAAAATCAAAGCAATAAAGCAGCTTTCTAGGTGGGGTGTATATGAAAGCCTGCAGAAGAGGGTCTTGGAGTTTTCTTTTCAAACAAGCCTATAAGCTGAATATTTTACTGCTGTTTTAATCAATCAGCCTGCAAACTTTTGGCACTGATGTCATTCCAAGGAATTTAGACTAACATAGAAGTTATTACCAGGTTATCAGGCAAAACTCTTCTCTCTCTCTCAACATGCAAGCGTGTCATGAGCTGACATTCCCTCATGAACCCTTTGCCTACTACCTAGGGTGCATTTGTCAAAGATTCTGTAGTTAAAATGGTGACTAATTACTTTATTGAACCAACACATCTCATGGTAAGCCCTTCAAAGACCAGTTTACACTCTTGGGTTTGCCTCAGGGCATTGCATCCTCTACAAGTGCTACAAGAGGCACGTTTGCTGACAGGGTGTTTGCTGGTGTCTAAGGCTGCATCTGCAGACACAGGGGCAGTTCTGAAGCTCAGCTGATGCACAGGACCTCTTGGGAAGTGGCTGAATGTCCAACTCTGCTTTGGAAACACTGCCATGTGAAAGGGAGCTGTGGGAGACCAGCCAGTGAAAGATCCTGGGATGGGTGACAGGATCATCTTCACTGTTAAAGTCCATCCCACCCTGTGTCTGGAGCTCCAGAGCTGCTCCCCATGTGCACAAGAACAACCTGCTGCCCTGACCACCCCCTGCAGCATCACACAGATGGGTGCAGGCATCTGGGGGCTCCTGGGCTTGGAGAGGGCAACCCACAAACCCCTGATGCTCAAGGCAGTGTGGCTGAGCAAAAGGGCTCACCTCTTGCTTAGGTGCTTCAGCAAAACCACCTCATCTATTTGTGTAGCTTCTGGCTGCACTGAATCAGTACAAGGCAGTGCCAGATTTAATGTTTTGTCAGTGCTAGTCCATGGCTCTCTGGCACATGGCCCTAAGGAAAGGAAAGGCTGATCCTCTTCAGCCCCCAGTGTTCTCCAAGGCCTGAGCACAGCAGGACCCAAGGCATGTTCTCAGAGGTGGGCTGAGGTCAGCCAGTGGCTGCTGAGCAGTGGGGAAGGCAGACTGTACATGTGCCTGGGATCCTGAGTCACTCCTCTCCTGAAACTCAACGTACCCATCTGTGACACCCTTGTGGATAGGTAATTAATGTCTCCAAAGCACTGTGAGATCTACTGAGACCAGGCAAGAAAAAGACTTTGCATGAATCATGTTGCTGGGAGGAATGGGAGCACATCCAGGCACTTTTCTCCAGCAGCCAAAGGCTGGGATGCCTGTGCTGGACTCCCCATCAGGGACAGAAATCCCAGCTCTGGTCAGCAACCTCAGCTTTGGCAACCCAAACAGGCTCTGAGGAGTGGTTCTGCTCTAGCAGCACTGAACAGGTCAGTCCATGCTCTGTTCATCCATCAAAGTCCCCCCAGCTTGGGCTGGGCAGAGAAAACTCCAGATAACCCATCTCTCTGGCAGCCAGGGACTATCCATCTTCTGCTATGGCTCCAGGGTTGAGGGGAGGCTGGGGCCTGCAGGCAGTGAAGCAGAGATGAAGAATATCCTGGAGATGTTCTTGGTGCCCTGAAGTACCTCAGAGAAGCCACAAGAGAAGACAGAGACACTGGTGATTGCCCAGCAACAGGACAAGGGGCAACGGGCACAAACTGGAACTCAAGGGGTGCCACCTGAACAGGAGGAAAATCTTCCAGGAGTCTCCTCTGGAGAGATTCCAAACCTGTCTGGACATGCTCCTGGGCAACTTGTTCTGGTGACCCTGCTTTAGCAGAGAGGACTGGACGAGGTGATCTCCAGAGGTCCCTTCCAAGCCCCACCACCCCAGGATTCTGTCATTCCTCCAGGCTTTTCACTTTCTGGCATCCTGGCTGTCACATTCTGCTGGCAAAAGTGTCTGTGCCCAAGACAGAGGGATGCCTGGGGAGTGGCTGAGTCCTCCCTCCCACCCCCAGGGGCAGGGTGGGCCTGTGAGAGGAGCTACCACCCCACAGTGCATCCCAGATGTGACCTCCCACTGCAGCAGCTCTGGAACATCCCTGCTCAGCAGCAAGGAAAGAGCCTCTCCTCTCCACACACCCAGCAGGACCCTTCTCCCCCTGCCCCTACGTGGCCTGGGGATGCTGTCTCTGCTTTACAGAGACAAATTCATCACTGCTGTTAGGTTTTTTGCCTCCTCCTAGGTGAGACTGCATTAATTAAACACCACTGCATGTCCCATCAGAGTTCTACCTCTGAGCTACACCACGAAGGGAAAAACCCCTGTCTGCAGGCAGAAGGAGCAGCTATGGCACACTGGGGAGATGTGCAGCAGGACACTGGGCACTGCCACTCCTCTGCTGCACTGTCAGCTCTGTGATCCTGCCCAAATCCCTCTAGATCCTGCTGGCCTCCACTGTCCCTGCTCTGGGAGGGGCATTGCTGAAGTTCCTGTCCTCTGCTGCCCTGCTGGCTGAAGCATTCTACAGTTCCTCCTGTGCCTCTTCCTGCCCTGACATCAGTTCTTTCTGCATTGCTGGCCCACACCTTGGCATTGCAGTTGTCCATGCAGGCAACTCACACAGCTCCCTGGGATGCCTGTCAACAGCAATTTCACACAGAACTGAGCCCCTGCCAATCCTGTCCAAGGACACAAATCCTCCTCATCTTCCTTCCAGCCTCCTCCAGCCAAAGCAATAATCCTGGCAGCAGGAGAAGACAGGCTAATTTATGCACTAGACCCAAGAGAAAATGGACACAATTGTCTGCTTGGAAAACAGAGGCCATCTGTGCAAATTCCAGGGCCAGGCAGACACCCTTGGAGACTAAAGTCATCTCACTGGTGCGACCACAAGGCCACCAGCTGAACTGAAGGAACTCCCTTGTGGAGCCTCCTGAGTCCCACAGAGACCAGAAACTATTGTTTCTGTCCCCAAAACTGCTGTTGGACAACGCCAAAAAACCTCTTCAGGAGCTGAAGTTGAGATAACAGGAATTAGAGCACCAAGAAGAGTTAAACTCCTGGACAGGAGCAAACTACAAATTCTGTCCTTCAGGGCAGTGATAAAATGAGGAGTTCTTTGCTTTTTTTCTTGGGGGAGTTCCAAGCTTTGAAGACAAAGAGGAGGTACACTGTACAGTTCTGCATTTAATTAACCTGCCATCCACAGAGCAAGTGGAAAAAAAAAGTGGTTCTCAGTTCCTCAAGCTGCCTCTGCTGCCCAATAAAAACCAATAAGAAGCTGATAAAAATCACTCAAAAGAGAAAGAAAAGACCTCATCCTGCAGTGACAATTCCTTGTCATGGTAAGCCCATAAATGGCCATTCTACAAACACCAGACAAAGAATTTCCCCCCCTCAGATCTTAATGAATAAACACAAAATTAATTTCTCTTGTCACTTAGCAGACACACTGACTGAGGATTTTCCAGCTGTGGTTTTAGGCTGCTAAATGGACTGGGGTAGGAACTCATCCCCTGAAAGAAATCCCTTTATGAAGAGTGATTGTTGTCAGAGAGGTCTTCCCAAACTTCCTTTCTCATCTTCTGAATTTAAAAAAGAAAATAAAATGGCATTTTTTATCTGCACAAGATCTGCTTGGGATACCCCTGGGGATTTCCTTTTAAAAGAGACTTTGGGTTGAATGTCAACTGCAAGAACACCCCAAGGAAACAAAAAGCTTGGCCTGCAGCCACCCTATTGTTTAAGGGAGGAGAGAAAACAAGGGAAGAGAGAAAATATGCTCTGTAATCAGAATGCTTTTGAAAGAAGAAAAATAGACACAAACCAAATGTTTTCTTGAAATGCCAACACAGGGGGCAGGTTGGTAAATTCCAGGATTTCTTCTCAGCCAAAATCCTTCACTGAAAGGGAAATCTGAATAGCAACGGGCAAATGTCTCAGATTAGAAACATCTTGGTGGTGGTGATGATGAAAAATAAAGGGATCTTTCCAAGAAAGAGAAACTCCTCTTGTTTTGCAGTTCCTTTTGAATAGATCATGGGCTTTTCTGGACTTAGCAGCTCACTCAGAGGGGTTTATTTGGGTAATTACAGGTGCTGCCTCTACTGATTCTCATATGGCCACTCAGGAAGAGATGTTTGTCTATATGGTGTCTGGTTTGGGGCAAGCTGATCCCTCTGGAGACACCCAAAGCTGATCAAGATGTGACTGCCCACCAGGCCATCAGAGTTGTGGGGTGGTTTGGAGGGATTGAGAGCTAAAGACAAGCCTGACCATGCTTGTGCATCCTTAAAAGTGCTGCCTCTGAGTTGCCAGCCCAGAGAAGAAGGCTGCAGAGTTTCTCTGCCTCATTCTTGATGTCCTGACACCTCATATGGGTAAAGCACAGCATGAAATGTTTCCAGGACTATCTGGTGTGATACAGGATCCTGGTGATATATGAAATTGGAATGTGTAGGCAGCTGAGCTGACTCTAAAGACTGAAAGATTAAGACTCAGACCAACAAACCCAGAAATTACAGAACACAGCTTAAATAGCAGAGTGCTTTAAAAACAAAGGAACTCTAAACTCCTTGGAGTTTGTCTGATGTGCTTTAGATCTTTTTGAGTGAGGAGAGAAAATTAGCAGACAGTTTCTTTCCTTCTTTTTTTCTAAATAGAAGGATCCATAAAAAGGGGTCCCAGGAACCAAACACTTGAAGGATCCTACCAAACATCATTCAGATTGGCAGCATCATTGCTCTTCTTGCAGCTCAGGAGAAGAGGGTGATTTGAGACCCCCCTTCAAACTCTTAACACTCAGAAATTTCTCCCCCATTTGCCTTTTGAAGTCTGCAGGTCCTGTGTCAATAAACACAGTTGCTCATGTCTCACAAGGAAAACTGCTGAGCTGTAAGCTGTCTACTCCCAATGTCTTCACCAGCTGCTTTTGCAGTCTGTCATTGTGTTTCCTGAGCTTACCAGTGAAATGTGTGTTCCAGAAGAGCTCTGCCTACACCAGTTGGGTCTCAATGAACCCTTTTTCCATCCATCTAACACCACGTGAGCAGGATGTGCCATTCAAACCTCTGCTACCAAGGCAGTGGTGGCAGCAGAGAAGGCTGGTATCCTCCCCAGGTGTCTTCTGGTGCCCACCAAACTGGATGGCACAGGGCAGAAAAGCACAGTCCACCAAGGGGAACAAACTGGCCATGGATGAAGTCTGGGGGCTTACCTGGGGAAGGGCTTGTACCACTGTGTCCAGCAGAGCTCGCATCCCAGTGGCCATTTTCAGCAGTTTCAACACTACAATGAGAATGAAATCCTGGTCAGCAGGGCTGGGAAATATTTCCAGTGAAACCCACAAAGGAAATCTAGCTTGAGATCTTGCAGGGAGGGTTCCCAGCTCTCTTGCATCTATTCAAACTGGTAGCAAGCTCACTGCATCCTGGAAGGACCCACAGAACATCTTGACTGCTTCTCACAGCAATTAATGGGAAGGACATCAGTAAAACAGAGAAACAGCCAGAAAAACTCCAGCAGGAAAATGGGAGAGAGACAGGGAGACACTTTACCAGTGAAGAACATCATGTCAAGCTCTGACCCTCCCTTCTCCACCCCTTCCTGCTCCTGTCTGGTACCAGTGACACAGGTCTGTGATCCCAGGTTTGAATCAGATCCCAGGCTGAGATGCCACTGGAAACACCCACGAAAGCTTCTCTCTGAGCTGACACTTTGCAGCCTCATCTCCCAGCTGTTCTCAGGTCGAACTGAAAGAGCAGGCTGAGAAGAACAAAGAGCCAAACCACGCCCTGAGGTGTCTGGAGGGGTGGCTGGAGAGCCCACAGAGCAGGACCTACCCCTTGCTATCCGCAGCACCCGCATGATGCGGATTATGGTGGGGTTGATGGGCAGGGCAGCATTCATCTCAATCTCCTCCAGAGTGATCCCCACGATTGATAAGAGAACTATGGCCAAATCCAGCTGATTCCACCTAACAGACACAGAGAGGAAGGATAATAAATCAGTCATACCCAGACAGGCACTCAGGAGTAGAGATTTAGCTGTTAATAACAAGCACAAGCAAATCCCAAATGCCACATCTGGGCCCAGGAGCTTCTCTGTGGTACAAAAATCCACTCCCTGCAGCTGGCACAGGCAGTCTCTGAGCCATAAGATGCTGTAGGCTGACTGGGAGGTGCTCCTGCCTATTTCCCAGTCCCCATCATCCCCTTGCTTCCCACGTGGAGCCACTCCCAGGGACAAGATACTACCAGGCTAGAGGGAACTTTGATGTGGTTGCAGCTCCCACGTTGTCCCCTGTCTCTTGAATTACTCCAGTTGAGTATCTTCACTCATTTACAGCCTACCACTTGTAGAGGTTGAACACAACTACCTGTCTTTGCCCAAGGCTTTGCAAAGCCAGCAGTCTTCCACAGGACTGCTTTGGAAGGCCAAGGAGACTTGTTCTGAGGAACTCTGTGACTTCAGGCTGATAAAACCACTTTTTTGAAGACTGCATTGATGCCAACAGGTTGTTTCTGACCTCTAAGATGAACTGGTCAGACCTGGTGGAGAGGCAAATACTGGGGGAAAGAATGTGTCTAGAATTTTGTAGAATATCCTGAATTCCTTCTGCAAAGCAGTCCCAGCAGTTTGTAGAACTTTTAGTTCCTACACCATAAAGTTTGCTCCCATGGAGAGCCAGCCCTTTGCTCTGTCTTGCACACAGCATGTAGCACAATCACAGCAACACAACATTTACCCAGCATCTGGCTTTGAAACTGGGTCAGTACAGCTCTATCCCAAACACCCAGGAGCTGAAAGACTCTCACCTGTCCTTAAAGAACCTTCGAAAACCAAATGCCACCAACTTCAGAAGTGCCTCAAACACAAAAACTATGGTGAACACGTAGTTGCAGTACTTCAGGGCTTCATCCAGGGACTGCAAAGAGAGGCACCAGTTAGACCAGTTCAAGCTACCCTGTTCCAGAGCCCCTGCAGAGGGCAGGCACAAGGGTGACAAAGGTAAGAAGAGAAGTGCCAATAGCTTGCAGAGCTTGGTTAGAAAACTGCACTAAATCACTCAAATCAAGGGTTAGACACTGATGCAAACAGAAACCTCCCAAGCACTCACACTAGTTGTGCTAAAAAGGACAAGAGCTATCCATCCTCTGACTTCAGTGCATAAACTGTTCAGAGTCTGTGACAGAGAGAAAATTTTACCCCTTCCCTTAATAAAATTTACTTCTTCTGAACTCCCATCCTTGGCTAGACTGAATGGCTTGATGGAGCATTTCGTTATTCCAACGTGGCAATCCTTAGGACAATGGTTTTGCTTCAAACACTCAGGGAAATAAATAACGTTGGGGATGGATTAAATGTTGCCTTCTTGAAAAATGTCACATCTCTAGAGCTGGGCAAAGTATGTCCTTATTTGGAGCCACGTTCACACTCTCTATGGAGCTGCTCTCGGAAGTCAGGAATCCACAGTGTTTATACTTTCAGATGATGAGTGTTTATAATGGATTTCATTGGAGCTGTAGGCCAACAACAGCAGAAGAATCTTGCTGGGACCTTAAAATAGCTGCAGAGTGAAACAGCTCTTTGGTTGGGTAGGGATTTGGGGAGAGGAGGGTGGGGAAAAAGGAGTTTAGTTAAATGTAGCACAGGTCTCACACAACAAAAAAAATGTTAACAGGGAAGATCAAACCAGACACAACTGGAAATGAGATGGAACAGAGGAATCTGCAAGGGAATGTCTGCTTTGCTCACAGGGAAGCCTCAGGCCACAGGGAAGCTCTCCTCAGCATGTCTGTGTGATGACTCTGCTTTGCTGGCCCTAGATATGTGGGGTGACCATGCATTGATTTTTTTGGGAGCAGCTGGAAGTTTTCCAGATGTTGCCCTTCCTCAGTGCACTACGATGCCTGTATTACCACTCTGCCTGAGCCTCAATGCTCACCTCACTGGGGAGGGTTTGCATTCAGATTTACAGCACTGTGCTGTCCATGAATACAAACCAAGTCTAAATAAGCCCTAATCTGGATAAATAACATTTACATGCAAAACAAAGACTGTTATGCAAAGGAATTCTGGGGGCAGAACACAGTCAGCTGGTGGAAAACACACAGGCAGTGCCCTGGGACTTGGTGCCCTTCTGGTTTAGCTTCCAGGAGGCATTTGCAGGTTACCTGGCAGACCATGCAGCACTAGAACAGTAAACACTGAGCCTAGAGCTGGAATGCTAAAGGGATGGAGGATTAATCCATGCAGCACATGGACAGGCTGCAGGATTCGTGCCAAAGGTTTTCTGGGGGAAGAAGGATTTTATGGTACATAAAGAAAAGCAGGGTTGTACTGAAGAGTTGGTTTATTCTAAATTCATTGAGGAAAAGACACGTGGCTGTGCATTAACCTCAGGTTTATATCTGCTAATGGAATGTTCCAACCACTCCGGAAGGTTTTACAGGCTGAGGGTCAGTCATGGCTGGGATCAGGGGAGGAAATGTTTGGATTGGTCTCCTAGTAAAAGTTGAGCTTGCTCTCCATTAGCCTTATTCTCTGCTTTTTTACACAAGAGCAGGGAAATCAAGCTTTTGGCTGGGGTGATTGCTTCTGGAGTGGCAGAGCTGGCCTGGGTTAGATGGATTGTGATGCTGAGCCCTGCCAAGGCTTCTGAACACCAGGGAATGGCCCCAGGGAAGCAGGACTGGCTGCAGAAATTGCTGGTCAACAAGGGGACAGTGGATGGTCCTCGGGTCCTCTGCTACCCCACAGTGCCCTGTTTCACAGCCAACAAACACACTGGTGGATGGCTCTTACCTTTGGCTGGTTGTAGTGCTCCATGGACATCGTGATGACGTTGACTCCAATGATGAAGGTGATGAAGAGGTCAAGATAGTGGCTGGTGCAGAGGGTGTGAATGTACTTCCTGGCTGGGGAGTAGTCAGCATAGTAAGGCCTGCGTTGGGCTTCTGCAGAAGAAGAGAGAGAAAGGCCATGCAATGAACGTTGGCCCTGCTGTGTGGTTGGCACCCAGGGCGACGTGGTCGTGTCTGGCACACTCAGACTCAGCATGTAGGAGAACTGATTCAGGCAAGCCACGTGAAATGGCCAAATACTTCTACCTAGAACCTTCAAGAACCATAGTCAGGTTGTCAGGCTGAGCCAAACCTCTTGTGCCTGCAGAAGGGACCTCCACAGCTTTGACAGCCAGGTCTGGTTTTCTCCCAAGTGCTCTTGGTCCTTACTGCTTTGTCTCAGGCTAGAGGACAACTCCTTCACTTAACAGGACTCTTGTCACAAACCAGAAAAGGGTGAGAAGCAGGATGGAAATGAGATCCAAAGCCAAGAGAAAAGCTTCAAACCCAGCAAAGCTTCAACTCCAGTTTGGAGGAAAGACTCAGGGCTGGACTTATTGGTCTGGACTCTGAGATGCAACTCTCCTAATCCTGCTGATGTTGGGCACGTTCCACATCAAAGAAGAACATAACCTGAGCTCAGCTTCTGTGACAGAAGGCTTTTGGTGTGCTTTAGGAGTCTAAAGAAAGCATGATGATGCCTGTGGCAAAGTGGTGCAGAAGCATGAGGGTTAGTAGCACACAGGAGAGCATCAACAGCAATGGAGTGGGGTGCTCAGCGTTTGTCTCTACTATCAGCACAAGCTCCTCTGGAAATGTAAAACCAAGGGCATGGTTGTGTCTGAAAATCCACTCAAGGCTAGGATGAGGTGAAGTTTCTATCTCTGCCTCCAGCCACGACTCCTCCTCTCATTTCTGCACGTGCCCAAGGTCCTGGGGCTGTTCCAAGGAGGGTGTTTGGACACTGCCCTGCGACCGAGCTGCCTTTACTGCACGGGTTTCTCTCAAGACTGTGACCACAGGGTGGCTGTGGGCACTCAGAGGGAGGCAAATTCTTTTCAAACTTCAGAAATGTAAATATTCAAAGGGTGTACTTAAGGTCAGAGTCAGCATGACTGTAGAATCTGCAAGTGGAAGAGACATGTTAGGTCAGACAAAGTCAGAGCAGGATTGTTCTTAACAGAGAGGGGGGTTTTGCAAAGGTTTCAGTACATTCAGATTTCAGTGCTGAGATGGGGAGCTGGGAAGGAGTTGCTGCACCTTAAAAATGAGGGAAATAAGTTCAAAAGTACTCAGTGCCCCTCTGAAATCATCTTCCCCTCCTCTCATCTTGCTAATATCTTTCAGATGGAGTCACTCTCGAAATGAGGGAGGCTTAGGTTTTGATAGAGCAACTGATTAGAGTCCAGAACACTCAAATAAATGGGATAAAGGGAAGCTGAATCTGTAGCTCTCTTTCAACTTATTATTTTCTTCTGGTAGTTAAAAGTAGAGTGGAGGCATTTGAAAAAACATTTCCTTCTGGCCAGGGTGACTTAGGTTTATTTTTTCTCTTAATGGGTGTGGAAAAACAAGATGAAAGCAAGCACAGCTGGGGTTCAACACGTTTTTTTTCCTCTTGCTTTCATGTGCCTTAGTCCCATTTTGGACTGGTAGGACTGTCCTTGCTACTGAGCTCAGCTAATCTTCCAGTATGCCTAAAAACTACTAATTAAAACATTGCAGTAGAATGTTTATTTAAGTCTGTGCAATGTGCTTTCATGTCTACTCAGGATTATGACAGACTTTGGTTTTTACTTTTGGAAATGTCTTCTTGGGAATGTAAAAAGAATCAGCTTGTTGGGAGGTCTGAGAATACCTCAAATAGTCAACTGTTATATTAAATGACTATTTATTAATGACTAATGGTTGATTAATGATCTCAGAAGAGTATCAGCAGTGATGGGCAGTGTGTGAATACACATAAGGAAAAGAGGCTGTGAGTGCAACTACTCTCTAACATGCCCAAATGCTGCCTTTGATTAACTAATCAGCAAAAGATCAGGGGTTTAGTATGTTTTATAAGCTACTTTTATATTTCTAAAGCACAATCACAAGAAGACATCTTCCCCTGTGAGTACCTTCTAGGCTGCTTGTCAGCAGCACAGCTCTCTCTTTACATGGGCTGGAGAGACAAATAGTAAGGAGGAACCACTCAGCTAGAAAGATGGGGCTGTTTGAGAGCATGGAGATGTCTCAGAGGGCTGTGTCTGTAGACTCTGCCACTCTGGCTGCTCAGAAAACTTGGGACAGGTTTAACCTGAGCTGGGACAAAGGAGCTGTAGGATCTCCTTACTCATTTAGGATGCACTCTACCCCTGCAGGAGGGTTAGCAGATGAAAAAGAAACTTCTCCTGGGGGAAGGTTGACATGCAAGGAGACTGTCATGCTGAGTGCAGGAAGCATGCAATGCCCATTAGAGGAGATACTGCTCATGCAGCAGCAGGCAGGGAGGACAGGCAGCTCCTGCCCAGGGCTCAGGAGGGCAGAGGTAGGGTGGAAGCAGGGAGAGAGCAGCCACACGACTCTGCTGGCAGCTCAGACCCCCTCTGAGCAGGAGGGAGGGTGCATTTCAGAGCTCTGGGACCCCCTGCTCTGCTGGGTCACTGCTCACTCCTGCTCCTTGTAGGAACAGGGGTTTGGCTGCAGTCAGCAGCACAGCAAGTGGCTCTGGGCTCCTTAGTTCAGGCTTTTTTACCCTTTAGTGAGAATATACTGCATTATTCTCCCCATTTTGGGTGCAGGTGCTCCCTGCACACACCTACTGCTGCAGCCTGCTCAACAGGAGACACAGGCTCTGCAGGAGAACCTGTATGAGGAGAACAATGGACCACGGGGGTGTGGGCCCTGCAGACACTGGAGATCTAACACACCACTAATGCCAACAGGGAAAGTGTAACCTGTGCCTGGTTTCTGCAGGAAAATGGTGTTGGGAGGAGACTCCAACCAGCCAACTGGCAGTCTTAAACACAGGCAAGTATCCCTTCAGCTGCAGCTGATGGTTTGAACGGGTGGAAATGGAGGAGGGAAAGGAGAAACCATCAAACATACCCAAAACCACAGCCCTTCCTCACCCTCACTTCTAGAGGTTTGCTAAGGCTCCAATCTCAACTCGCTGAGAACCTGAACCTCTCTGCAGAGCATTTAAACTTCTTTGCTTGTGATTCTGCTGACACAAAAATTAATGAAGCACTGTCTCCTGGCTTAAAAGCATTTAGGTTGGCATTGCAATTGCTAGCTACAGCTCCTCCATTCTTCTCCTCTGCATGAAACATTAGAAAGCCCTAATGGGTTTCTATGCATGCTTGGCACAGAGGAGCTCTATACCTGCAGCTGCCTGGAAAAATAAGCAAGGCAGTTTGATAATTCCCTAGTTGGAGATACTAAACACTCACATCTGCAGTGCCCAACATTTTACTTACAGCTCAAATGTTTCTGCTGGATGCAGAGATGGTTGTGGCACTGAGGCTGGATTAATTTCCATACCAGTGTGTGCAGCCCACGAGTGCTCACCCCCAGGGAGAAAGGTTCTCAGCCTGTGCTCTGAAAGGCATCACTGCTGGGTCACAAACCAGAACTGGCCTCTGCCTTCCCCAGTGCCCAGACACGTGGGGCTGTGGTGGGAAATGTCTCAGAGAAACACAATGATGGCCATGCTGCTCTGCTACAGAGTGGGAATCAGGAAAGAGCATTTT